CCTGGCGCAATATGGTTCATGGGGTCACGAAGAGTCAGACACAACGACTGAACAACAACAAGAGTTTTTGTAGCATTTGTTTGCCCAACTTTAACCTGAAGAGAAAGACAATTGTTTTAAAAACACACAATTACAGGTTAATACAGAAATAAAAGAAGTCCTTATTTAGCAACTGCCTCATACAGTGACCGTTCACAGTTATGACAGTGATGAAAAAGTCCTTTGTGACCAATTCTCATATTTATGACCTCTGCAGGTCTGTAAAGCAAAGCTGAAGTAAGTTCATAAGCACAGTTGCAGTTTCAGTTAGCAACCACTTCACTTAATGACCAAGTTGCCAGTCCCAATTGTGGTCACTAAATGAGGACTACCTGTAGACATTTCCTCAAGTATAGCAGTATATTTTCCAACCATTTTGAATCAGGAAATATGTGTAAGCTTTAAAATAGCTTTTGCATAGTTTAAAACATACACAAAACCCAGAAAATATACAAAACCTTCCATTTTGTATCATCACCTACTATTGCCTTTAGATTGCTCTCAAAACCAGCTAACTATCCAGAAGTTCTCCAATTCTGTTTCATTATCACATCTTCACAACCATATGTAATTCTGTCATGATGTCATTCCAATTTATATTTTGTCCCAGGTACCAGTGGCAACCAGAGAAAGAATATTTATCACAATGAGGTTAAAATAGAGGATGGAATCATTTTCCAAGACAAATCCCAGATTCTTTGTAATACATAATTTGGCCCTAAGGTATTGGATTCCTATAGCAACCAAATGTTTCAACCATGGTCTGGCATAGGTAGTTTCTACAAAGACATATTCCTGCTCCTGGAAATTGCACTACATATTCATCTTGATCAAGAGAAAAACATAATTTAGCTCATCTTTTCCAGTTAACTTTCTGTTTTGCCAACTCTGGTAAAAGCATGGAGGTCTAGCCTTAAAGTACAAGACTCAATAGGCCACAAAAAGTTCTTGAAGCTGTGAGTTCAATACCCAGTAAGACACCGTGCTTCTGAGAGCCAGCAGAGTGAAATGGAGTGGTTATGGTATTGGATGTGAATTGAGAAGACTCAGTTTCAGGATTCCATTGGACCATCTACCTCACAGATTGATTCTGGGCCAATCACATTCTTTCAATCCAACCTGAAAGAGGGAATTTAGTATACTTGTATTACCTCCTTGAATGCTTCCTTGTGCTCCAAAAGAAAAAGTGGATATAAATGCAATAAATCACATGGTTAGGATTACAACTTCC